TCTCCCAATCAGTTTCCATGGCTGGGTTTTCTTGGGTTTTCATTGCTTAACAATGAATTTAGCAGCTTATACAAAATGAGTAATTGAATTTGCCTCTCTATTTGCCTTCTTTTGCACAAATATATTTCCTTTTCTTATGGGTGGGGAAGCACATTGAGCTGTAATCTGAACTACTTGTTTTTTTATCAGCTGTAATCTGAACTACTTAGTCCTTCCTCTCTTTCTCTCCCTCTCTCTCATTTATTTGTTTTGTTTTTTATCATGAGTTTGTTGTGTTTTGGGTTGGGCTGGAAAGCAGAAGGGAATTGGTGGAATTGAGCTTGTCTCCATGTTGAATACAGATCCGAATCTGAAATCTGAATATATTTAGATGCCAAAGTCAGAGAAAGAGAAGGGTTTTTGTTGGGAATAAGGCAGATCTTCTCAAAAACAGTATGTTGTTTTGATTTGTTGTCTCAGACTTTGGCAGCAAGCAGGTGTTGATGTTTGTGAATTTTGGATTTTCTCAACTTCATTACTCTTGTTCTTGCTATCAAAGACACAAACTTTATTTTTTTTCTTCACTAGGGTTATTCTCCCTTGGATCTCTCTTCTTTTCTAGGTCAAAAGAACATTGAATAAGGCAAGGATTGGAGTTGGAGGGACAGAAAGATCATCCACTAGGGGACCATTTAGGATTTGGCCATGTTTCTGCCGTCTTATACCAACCTTTTGCATTGTAAAATTAGCCACAAAGTTGTCAAAACTAACACCGCAAATTTTCAGCAACTTATAAGCTATCACAGGCACTAGTTAATTGAAGGGGAGGAACCATGAAAAAACCCAAAATAAAACTTGTGCTGTACGGAAGGGTAAGACAATTTTTAAATGTTTGCCTTTTGTTTTGAACATAGGGTAGGGTGCACTCTGCATAACCCTCCCTCAATGAATGTCTTTTTAAGATTTGCCGTTTAGCTAGATAAAAACTCCAACCTCATTCATTTTTACAATGTTGTACTCCTTGGTAAGCAAGGTTCTATTTCGTAGGAAAGTTAATAAGAAGGTTCACAAATTATCTATTATTTTTTGGATGGTTAATTTTTAATTAAATTAAATAAAAATTAATTTTAAAATACATATAAATTAATTTAATATAAATTAATTTAAAAAGACAAAGACACTATGATCAAGAGAAAAAAATGCTTAAATTACATATTGCACAAAAAAAGATGTGCAATTTGATATGTGTTGACTGCATATGTTATAACAATTAATGGGAGGCATTCCACTTAATTGTTATAACATATGCAGTCAACACATATCAAATTGCACATCTTTTTTTGTGCTATATGTAATCTAAGCATTTTTTTTTTTAATCAGAGTGTTTTTGTCTTTTCAGATTAATTTATATGTATTTCAAAAATAATTTTAATTTAATTTAATTAAAAATTAACCATCCAAAAAATAATAGATAATTTGTGAACCTTCTTATTAACTTTCCTACGAAATAGAACCTTGCTTACCAAGGAGTACAACATTGTAAAAATGAATGAGGTTGGAGTTTTTATCTAGCTAAACGGCAAATCTTAAAAAGACATTCATTGAGGGAGGGTTATGCAGAGTGCACCCTACCCTATGTTCAAAACAAAAGGCAAACATTTAAAAATTGTCTTACCCTTCCGTACAGCACAAGTTTTATTTTGGGTTTTTTCATGGTTCCTCCCCTTCAATTAACTAGTGCCTGTGATAGCTTATAAGTTGCTGAAAATTTGCGGTGTTAGTTTTGACAACTTTGTGGCTAATTTTACAATGCAAAAGGTTGGTATAAGACGGCAGAAACATGGCCAAATCCTAAATGGTCCCCTAGTGGATGATCTTTCTGTCCCTCCAACTCCAATCCTTGCCTTATTCAATGTTCTTTTGACCTAGAAAAGAAGAGAGATCCAAGGGAGAATAACCCTAGTGAAGAAAAAAAATAAAGTTTGTGTCTTTGATAGCAAGAACAAGAGTAATGAAGTTGAGAAAATCCAAAATTCACAAACATCAACACCTGCTTGCTGCCAAAGTCTGAGACAACAAATCAAAACAACATACTGTTTTTGAGAAGATCTGCCTTATTCCCAACAAAAACCCTTCTCTTTCTCTGACTTTGGCATCTAAATATATTCAGATTTCAGATTCGGATCTGTATTCAACATGGAGACAAGCTCAATTCCACCAATTCCCTTCTGCTTTCCAGCCCAACCCAAAACACAACAAACTCATGATAAAAAACAAAACAAATAAATGAGAGAGAGGGAGAGAAAGAGAGGAAGGACTAAGTAGTTCAGATTACAGCTGATAAAAAAACAAGTAGTTCAGATTACAGCTCAATGTGCTTCCCCACCCATAAGAAAAGGAAATATATTTGTGCAAAAGAAGGCAAATAGAGAGGCAAATTCAATTACTCATTTTGTATAAGCTGCTAAATTCATTGTTAAGCAATGAAAACCCAAGAAAACCCAGCCATGGAAACTGATTGGGAGA